ACAGACGGATGTCATATTTTATACTTTCGTTGTGTCCATCCAACATGAAATGGCCACGGAATCATCGACTTTAGATTTTTAATAAGTCGTTTACGAATTCGGTTTCCCCATGCGTGTGTCACTGACTAGTACTAGAGTTTTAATTCTTTTTTGTTTCCATTCAGTATTGTATCTAGCCATATACGGCTATTCTTTACTAAGCTGTTTTCTTCTTTCCATGGTTGCAACTTGATGTGGATACGGTGTATGTTGTCTCTATCGTGTTCTTGTATCCACATTGAATCAAACTTGGCCATGTTATTCATATAACCTTTTAAACTAATATCTTTTAGATAGGCATGTGCTTCCTCTAGATTTGGCATTTTTAAAGCTTTTCCAATATCTTTATCTCCTAATCTCCCTCTGTCCATTTTTATTTTGCCGATTTCTTTTATTACTGCTCCTTCTTCTGGGTGCTTTTTGTTTTGGTTTCTAATGTACTCTATTATATTCTTAAAACTGCCATCATAATGTTTGTTTTCTGTAACTGGAGTAAATTTTACAAAGTATTTCTCATCATTTAGTTGTATAAACGGCTTTTTTCTTGTATGTGTGGTGTCTTCTAATTGAAAGAATGCATGAATATGTTTATTCGGTCCTCGTGTTGTCATGCTCATTATCATGTAGTTGATTTTTGCTTCTTTGTTTTTAGTTGAACACCAATTCTCTATAGCTTTTTTTATTGTATTTTCTGTAGGTAATTTATCGTTTTCTTTTAAGTTGATTGTTACGTATCCGTGCATACTTCTGAACTGATAATATTTGTTATCAGACATTTTTGTTTGGATGGTATGGTAATAATCAGTTTACTTTTTAAATTATATAGAATTTTCTATTTATTTTATTGTTGTCTGTTTTATTGACTGTTTGTCTGTTATGAGGTGTCTGTCTGTCTGTTTTGTCTTTATTTTTGTCTGTTCATTACGTCATCCATACGTTTTCTTTTATATTTAACTGGAACTCTTTTTATTTCATTCAATGTTCCCTCTTCTGTCCTCTATCGTGCAAGATATCGACGAAACCTGTAAGGGTCTCCTCGATAATGATAGTATAGATTTGGATTCTAAATGCCTTATCTACTCTATCATGTACTTCATGAGGAGATTCGAGGAGACTCAC